ATATGTTACTGTACTTTAAAATAATTGAATAGAAGAAAAGAAAAAGAAAAAAAGTTTCTGCATTGCTTTATGCAAATCTGTGTAAGTGTAAGTTTTGGGTGTAACGGTGGTGGTTCTGGTGGTGGTGATTCATTTCTTGTATTTTCTGTGTTTGGGAACAGATCCTAAATTTACTCACACACTCATTAAAAAAAATCTGTCACAGGCTGTAACAGAAAATTGTCCTTGGTCTGTGGTGGAGGCTCAAACACATTGAAACACAATAAAATATATCATACCCCTCCCCGTAATTCATTTAAACTTGAAATCTTTAGAAAAAACTACTTACTCATAAAACCATACACTACCAGCTGCAAACTTGTTCCTTTGTTTAAAAGGTTGATTTCATGTTTTTTTTTTCTTGGCCATGGTTACATTATTTTTGAGGATGTATTAAAGTGATTTGTATAACTAAGTATGATTCTTTGGTCTTGGTATAAACAGACCAACAAACAAAAAAAAGCTGTAAAGACTGAAGTTTTCATTTCCATTTAGAGTATTTTCTTGTTTGTGTGTTTGTTTTGATGAAATGACATTGAAATTATGATAAATCTGAGCACCAAAAGCAGCTTTGAAAGTTGGCTTTGAAAGCTTCGGCAGCCCCAAAGAAAATAAGTTTTGAATTAGGATGGAAGCCTCCGCTGTTTTATTACAAATATACTCATATTTAGCACCTGCTGGAGAAAACAAACCATTCTTTTTATCTTACATGAATCTTTTATTTTAAGATCATCCATTAGGATCTCTAGAAAGAAAACAGCTTCTCTGCAGTAATACCAGTTTTGTCAGGGGAATAAACGAATGAGTCTTTTGCGCTTCTTTATTTATAATACAGCTTTCTTTTGACAGGAGGGAATGACTCAAGTTCCTGACACTTTAAAGGTGTTTGCTTTTGTTGGTAAATTTGACTTTGACGCATGTTATCTTGGTTTTTAGGTAAGTAGATGTTAGTTCATGCGATCTGTATTTCCTGCTGGGTAAAAACTGACAAAAAGCTCTATGCCACCGAGTTTGTTTAGTACTAAAGTACCAAATTCTATGAAGAGTGGTTGGAGTTTTACCTGTTTTTCAGTGAGGATGACTCTACCCAGCAGCTGGTCCTCCAGTCCTTTCATGGTGACGGTGAAGTCAATGATGGAGGWGCGAGCGCTGATTTCAGGAGTGTAAGCTGGGTTAGGGAGCTTGGTGGTCATATAGAGCCTGAAGCCTTTCATCACATCCACCTCTTTGTCGCCAACCTTCACCTGCAAACATTTTGCAGAACAGATTATAGTTAACCATCAACACAGTAACAATATTAAAAAGGAAAGACTTGGCATCACAAAGTTTATATATACATATACTGTACAGTATATACTGTACATACACAGCGGGTAAAATA